AGTCTGAATATTACTTTTATATGTGTTTCCCCAAACCTCTGCACAATAACTCGTGTATGGTAATAGTAAAGCACAATATAACATATATAAATTTTTCCTATCCAGAAAATGTTTTACTTTCCCCAAGACAGCAATCCACTATCCAACCTACTCATTTTGATTCTCCTAACTGCTCTTTATATATCCGTCTGAAAACTGCACAGTCAAGCATTTTCCATTGTATAGCATTTTCATGTTACAAGCACCTTTTCAGAGTGACGCAATTTGCATTACATAAATCAGGCATTCGCAAGACAGCAAAACAATGAACAAAGACTTTCACGTCCTGTGATGCCTCCTCCAGTTGGTCCCCTTCTGTCCCTCGTCCTGTGGTACTTCCTTTCAGTTGGTCCACTTCTCTTTTCTTCACCTGCCTGATGCCACTCGCATCAGCAGGCTCCCGCTTATCTCTGCTTTCCTTGTGACTTCTCCCATTGTGTCCTCTTCCTTCGTTATCTTCTGTGGTTCTGGCACGCGGGAGCTTGCAACCAGGTTTGCTCGCACCGAACTTGGAAAAGGAGCTTTTGTTCTCTCTGGTCCGTCTGCATGGAGCAGGCTGCAGGAAAACTGGAAATTAACCCAGTTTATCTACTTTAATACACGTAAAACCAGACTATGAACCCTTGAGACGGATTCCCCGTGTTGTAACTGCCTTCTGTGATGTTGAACATAACACGTCTGTGTAACTGAAAAACGTATAACTGTAACTTTGGCTGCCTCTTGGCCAGGACTCCCTTGAAAATGAGGTTTTTACCTTCCTGGTTAAATAAAGAATAAATAATGTAACGTCACAAAATGGCCTGATTTTGAGATTAGGTCATCTAACCCTGGCTATGTCACGTTATACTGTATTTTCCCTTGACAGGAGCCTGGAGTCTGCACACAGTCTCTTTAATCACAGCCTTCATCAGATAATAAAGATGAACAGAAGCATTCCTTTCCCCAAGGTTCCTCACAAGGTTCCTCTTTAGATAAACTTTTTATTCTCCAAAAGAAAAGAAGATCTTATAATTCAAAACAGTCGTTATGAACTTTTGTTATTCTAAGCAATGAAATGTCATGAATCTGTGTTCAAGGTTTCGTAGTGTTTATTAGGTGAGGTCATCACCATTTGCTCACACACCAGACAAGAGAATGGTTAAGATTAAGAATGCATGACACAGATTTTGTAATTCTGATTAAAACAGAATTAATGCACGGACACTATTTTTCATTACAATAATAAAAATGAAAAAAAAAAATACTTAAAAAGCATCAGAATTATTATTATTATCTTCCTGTGGTCTAATTTCTTCTCCCTTGAATGTAGTTTACTGGTTCCCAGTAAACAGCCGTGCACACTTCAGTGATAAAATTCACCAGGACTGCTCCTTTGAACTCGGGACAACTTGTAATGCTGCAGACTTTTCACAGTTTTACAAACAATGCACCAAACAAGATGCTTCCAGCTCTGCTGATGCATGCGAGGACGGCAGGAAATGCCGCCCTCCACCTTCCCTCTCATCTGCTGCCCCCTTCTGCACCCTGGCCAATGGCCCTTGAGTTGCTCTTAACACAGCACCTACTCTGGAGTGGTGGAAAGCTCAACCCCCCTTAAACACCTCCTAGCCCTGCTGGGGGGATGCCACACCAAGCCAGCTGCAATATACTTTAATATGTATTTCTCCACTCACAATTCCTTATTTCATATACGTTTATCCTGCTACCATAACCAACCTAGCTTACTCTGAACTATGCCAGCACTATCTTTAATTTACAATTTTCTATTATTACTATTGTTTTTTATCACTTTTTATTATATTTTATATTTAGTTTTTATCTTATTATTGTTTTATTCTACTTTTCATTGCTTTTATTCTATTGTATTTGAGTCTTGCAGTTTGAGAGCTGCTAAAAAATGTCATTGTGTGCACGCATAATGACAATCATGAATTCTTAGTAGTAGTATTCTTAAGAGTATGGCACAATTCCAACGCTGACTGCTAGCCTAAACTGCCATGAAATTTTTTTAAAAGTTAACGAAATTTCCATAAAAAATCTGTTATGGTCAAAGCCAGTTTAGTTTTTGATCCCCTTTTAAAATGAAAAAACAACTTAGTTCTTGATGTTGTTTTTTATTTATTAATTTGTTAACTTTTTACTTTTATCCTCAACATTTGTATTTCAATTTATACCTCGTGAATTAAAAAAAGAACAGTTGTTTCAAGGGGCTCTGATTCTCTGATGAGAAAGGGACCTGTAAGTCACGTGACAGCGAGGCGGAGCCAAGACGAGGAGATAAAATCCCCCAGCGCGCGCAAAAGTTGAAACGCAGATGGAGAGAAGATCTGATGAGGCTGGGACGTCGAGCTGCGATCAATGAGCCCATGTGAACTTTTTTTTGGTCAAAGATATTATGTCCGTTTATCGCCCCAAGCGTGAGAAGTCATCGACCATGGAACACGTCAGCTTAAAATGCCAGGTGGGTGGCTTTTTTATTTGCCTTTTATTGGCGCGTGAGCGTGGCTTGTTTATCATTTTTGGTCATCTGGCCACGTTTCGCTAAAGTGACAAACTTCAGTCGTACACGACGAGCACTTTTTGTGTGCACTTGAGTGTCTGATGCCGCAACAAGTGCAGCGACTCGACCGTTTTTCAGCGTGGATCGTACGGTTTATCACAATTTGTGGATGTTGGACTGTTTACGGAGGGCACGTTGCTCTCGGAGACCGTACTGCGTCATGGGACCCTTCCTCAGGCAGCCCACTGTCTTAGAGCACTACTTTATGAGAGAGAGACAAAGACAGAGAGAGAGAGGGAGAGACAGACAGAGAAATTCAAAGTAGTGCTGGGAATTCCCAGAACACCTGAGAGCCGGTGTCGGTGCTGGATCGGCTCGGGGTCCTTCGACTGCCGATGACGTCACATTACTGCAAACCTACTCTGCTTTCACACATACTATTTGGAAAGATATCAGCAGTTTTGTTAATAAATTCTTGTTTGTTATCACCTAAATGTTTTCTTTATGATGTAATTAATAAAACACCAAATTATTTTTGTTTTGTAATGAATGTGAAACTGCATAAAACCAACATCGGACTGACAAAAAAGACAACAGTTCATATATGTGAAGCCAGATCTGTGTGTATTAAATTGGAGTTCTTCTGTATTTCCTTAGTTGTCATCTAAATACATTCTTTGACTCAATATTGCTTGGTGTCTTTCATTAAAGTTCTTATATTTTATTTTGCCCCATTTCATCAACATCAGGAGCTTTTGAGGGTCACTGTTTATCATTTGCTTATATTTTACATTTCCTTTAGAAATGCAAACATATTTTCTCAAAGTATTGATTTTTGGACTACAACTGCAAATTTTTTCTGACCAATCAAAATCATAACGTGATAACGTCACTTCCATAAGCTTCATTTTCAGTGAGCTTCATGTTCAGCCAATCAACTACTTTGACGTCATCGGCAGTCAAAGGACCCCGAGACGATCCTGCACCCGAGCAGATCCTGTACCGACACCGGTTCTTTTGGCTCAGCTCACCAAAAAGAGCCGGCTCCCAAGTGGCTCCTTAGATTTTCTGTTATGTAGAGTTCATTTATAACCAAAATAATGCAAAACTATATGTAAAATGATATTGCATTTTTTTACATTAGCAAATCAAGTATTTATCATTTCTTTGGATTTAATAACTGAACACTTTCAGAAATCTCCACTTTCCGACTGCGGGTGCTCATTTTCTCACCGTCTTCGTCGCGCTCTCCTCCCTCTCGCTCGCATTTTTCCTCCTCATTCTTGTCTCCCTCCACCCGCATGTGCTCTGCTGTGTGTCTGATCCTCCCTCTTCCCCGCCCCTACTGCTGTGTGTGGACAGTCTGGACAGCAGTTACTCATGTTGACCAATCGAGAGCAAGAGGGGAGGGGAGGGGATGGTTCCCAATGACGAGCCAGCTCCCATCGTTCACTTCAAAGAGCTGGCTCTTAGAGCTGGTTCGTTCGCGACCGACACATCTCTAGGAGTTTTTTTAAATTAAATTTTTTTTTTTATGAATCAACAATCAGCGTTAATGACTGAAACTTGTTTTCTATTAATAAAACCAGGAAAACTGATAAACCCACAGTTTAAAAATTGATCTTTAGGGAGCCCTGTCCGTCCAGCAGACTGAGCACCTGCCCGATCCCCCACACCGCTCTAAAAAAGTCCATTAAGTTCAAAAAGTGTGTTCGATCTTTAAGCAAGCTTCCACCAGGCCCTTCAGGCTCCGCTCAGCATCAGTCCAGCTCTGTCCCAGCATCTGGTTTTTTCTGGTTTTCCAGATGGCTAGTTTTGCACATGCAAATAGAAAGTTAATTAACAATATTGTCCGTTTTTTTCTGACTGTGTACTTGGGCCCAAATAAAATAAGGGTAGGGTAAAAGCCTCCCCTAGTGCACTAACCCACTGTTCTAAAACCTTAAACATCCCTGATAACCTAGAACATGCTACCTCTAGATCAGGGGTGTCAAATATGCGGCCCGCGGGCCGGATCCGGCCCGCAAGCGGGTTAAAGCCGGCCCGCGAGATGGTTGTGTAAACTTTATTTTCATACTTTACAATGTAGAGTGAAAATAAACATATCTTTGTGAGCAAGTTTTCTCTGTAATGAGTATAAATAAAACAAAGCTGCGCTCAAGGCTCACACGTGAACTTGAATCACGTCCTGAAGTTGGCCGCCACTCAGGATGTGACTTCTGATGTTGATGTGCCGGTGAAAGCTAAAAGATGTAAAGTAAAATTAGTCAAATATACTTTAAGTGCTGCATGAAACTGATCTAGCCATGTGATCTGTGAGCTCTTTGAATCACTAAGGAATGTTTTTTTGATTTATTGATTTTTTTTATTTTTTTCAAATTTTCAAGTACACTTCAGGTGTTGTACTTGTACTATTTTGGATACACCATCCTCAGGCTCCAGCCTTGTTTTATATTGATTGTATTAAAACAAAGAAAACAATCTGAAGTTGTTTTTAATTTACCGGTCCGGCCCACTTGGGACTAGATTTCCCTCAATGTGGCCCCTGAGCTAAAATGAGTTCGACACCCCTGCTCTAGATGCTCTAGGGTAGAGCCCTGCACGCCACGGGCCTAAAATCTGAGCCTGTGTCCGGCCCGAGGGGGTAGAGCCCCAGCCCGACCCGGTCGGAGAAGGTTTTCAGGATTCTCTGGCCCGACCCGAGCCTGACTTTTTTTAATCTTTCATATTTTAGTGTGATAAAATGCTCAGCATTCTAATTATCTGTGAGAAGCTTACGCAGTAAAAAATAATAATAAAATAAGAAAAAGAAAAGAGAAAATGGCATCAATGCAGCTTTTTTTCTAACAGAGCGTATATTTCGAGCAGCAGATGAAATTTACGAACACTATATTAATTGGATGCGTGTGTAAATTTAATTTGCTCTGAAAATGCGCTCTTGTGCAATTAGAATGCTGCTTTTTTTTTCAACTGCAGAGCGCAGTTTCAGAGCGGCAGATTAAATAAACGCCCCCTAATTAATATAGCGTTTGTAAATTTAATCTGTTGCCCTGAAAATGCGCTCTGCAGTTGAAAAAAAAAAAAAAACAACCCAGCAATGAATGCTGTATTTTTAACTGCAGAGCGAATTTATTCACAGAAAAATAGAATGCTGCCGTTTTCATGAGAATAAATGAATGGTTTCTGAAATCAAAGTGGACATAAAACGGCGTATTAGAATAGGGGCACGTGTTTCAATCAGCAGTTTGAGAATTTGTTTATATAGGCGCATTTATAAACCACACAGACCTTAATTGAGCTAACGGGTGCCGGTGCGTGAGAAGCAGGCAGGTGCTGCTGCGTTCAAGCGTTTCAGTATTTTTTAATGAATACGATTAAGAATAAAGGTGCCCGTGTCCGAGGGAATTAGTCGTTGGCCTGGGCCAACCCGAGGCCCTAGGGCTTCAGTGCAGGGCTCTACTCTAGGGTCTCTGTTTGGTTACAAAAACGACATCCCTCCCCGGTGCTTGGATCAAAGCTAGATCAGTCTCTGGCTCTTCTTTATCCATTTTATGTAGCAGATCTGTGGTCGTAAGCCTCAGAAGGCACACCGTCTATAAATGTCGTGGGTTGGTGGTCCCGATACTTTATACATGTGTACATAGTTTTTTACTACGTAGCCTGAAGCTTTGAGATCAGCTCTAGTACGGTGGGCTTCCTGTTGGTTGAGATGTTACCTCGTAGATATATTTGAAAAAGGTCAAAGCTGGGATGGATAAGTCAAGTTGCTAACCTGGTAGCGCTTGAATAACTTGTCCAAGGCACATGTCATTCCATCATTTACCAGTAGGGTTGTCACGATACTAAAATTTCAAACTCGATTCGATACTTGAAAAAAATACTCTACTCGATTTCAATACTATTTAAAAACACCAATTTATTGAACAAGTTTATTCAAAAAATAACATTCCTCAATTTATATTGCAAAAATTAAATGTTAAGAATTAAGTGTATAAAGTGCTTAAACCTTTCAAGTATCAGTATTTTTTAAAATGTGCATACAAAAACTGGTGAAAGTTAACACTTTAAATCATGAATTGTCTCACTATATATACACTATTTGCAGAGTGATGTTTTGCTTCTTAAACTCTGTTTAAGGTGCATTTTTGTCATAAGCTGTAATGCCATATGTTTTGTTCTGTACTTTTGAACAACTCTGTTGGTCAATAAAGGGAGAAAATGAATTTCTCCACAGTAGGACAAATGTACATCTACCGGTAGTTTAATAAAAACAGATTGGCGCACGGCAGTGACGTCATTAAAAGCGCCGGTTAGATTAGCCGCAGCTAGTCCGTTCACGCCTAGAAATCCCAGACTCGCTCCAAACGAACAGGGGAATCACGTTAATGATTCCTAACAAAACCTTTCGACATGAAGATGTTTTGGTGCAGATAATGTCTTATTTCGAGGCTGCACCATGGGTGCCCGTCCACACCCGTTATATGGATATACACTGACGGCGATTCGCCGATGGATCTAAATATCCCGGGGAATCCAAGTAGCACCAAAGTTGTCAGCGTGAGTAAACAAACGTACTGTATGCTAGAAATGAAGTCCGGGTTGCAATAAATGGGAGTTTCCTTTAAGCACATAAGCGTGAATATACAACTACATGTCGGACTAATTAAGATGGGCTGTGAAGCGCCTCCCAAATTCGCTGTTTATGTTTTTGTTTATTTATTTGGCAGACATAACTTGGATCGGAGACAACTCGCGTGGGAAATTGCAATGTAGCCATGCGGCGTCTTCTTCTTCTGTTTGTCTGGGAGGCGGAGGCTGCTTTACGGCATCTGGCTGTCGTGCGTGTCGGTGTACTTGAAGAAGGCTGTGTATAATACTCCATATTATTGATACCACAGGGATGGAATATCTAATTTAGATACCACTTTTAGCATCGATTTATATCTAGGTATCAATTTTTT